AAAGATCTCGATGCAGCACAGCTGAAATCGGTATTTCGTATACAAAAGTGTTTTGAGTAGAAAATTTGAATAAYTTACACTTCAAGATCATAGATAACAATTCTGTTTACAATAATTTACACTGATGTTATTTTGCTTAATTTTTGTCCCTTAGAAATAAAGCAAAATGCAACAAGAGCACAAGAAACCAACACGATAATGGTCTCGTAATATGCAAAGACGAAACACACCGTTTTTTTACGAGCGGAGATACTCACCGGATCTTGTTTCCAGTCCTTAGTCTTACCCATTGTGGAATAGGTCTGTTTTGTTTCATCTTTTTGGCCAATTTGACCTTAATTTTGAATGACTTGTGCGCCGGCTAGCAAGAAGAAACGAAAACATTCAGTCAACCACAAATTTCTATCCGCAAAAATCTGGTTGAAATGCGGGCCATCTTAAGATAACGACCCTTTTTCTTTGGAATAAATATATCAAACTACAAGTATATCTAGTTGTTTTGTTTATTGGGCTTTTAATTAGGAAGAAAATCGACAAAAACTCACCATCTTGTGGACTTTATCTCGTCCTTATTCAAGTAAAGTGAAGAGGAACCATAAGCCGATCGCGGTGCATTATGGTACTATTCCCAACCCCTCATAAATTCTCCTCAAAATAAATACCACAGGAAACCCGTTCTGAAGTTTGTTAAACTTCCCTTCTTTTATTCTAAAATTCTTTCTTTGCTTTTTTTAAACCCTACGATCAAGATTTTTTTCTTTCTTGATGATAATTTCACCAGACTCCACATCATATATAATTTTCACAAACTTAACATATTTTCGTTTATATTTTATAATGTAACTAGGACAACTAGACGCCCCTGGGGCGTGAAGTCGGACTAGCTATAATCATATGATCTGCACATGCGCGTACTTATGATACCTAGACTGATGCATTCCTATGAGATCACAGATACCACATTTGTGAACGAATAGTTTTTTTGTCATATAAAAGTGCGAGTAGTATATAACATTTACTAACGATACTCATACATCAATACGTTTGAGCATAGTTAATAGAGGGTCCCCTCTATTAACTATGGTTTGAGCTTCCGGTCATGTAATAACACAGCCAACCCAATAGTTAATTATTAAATTCTTAACTTCAGGTGGTCCAAACGCGACATAATACATAAATAGATAGATTGATAGATAGATTGGCTAAAAGGTAAATTTAAAGTCGGACCGCCTTCGGCTAGTCCGACTAATTACACACCTTTATTAAGAATATCGAAATAACACTACAATATTTCAGTTTAAATTGTAATTGTATTTACTTTTATCTAACTACATATTATGTTAATTACTACAGTTTTAATCAAAATTTATATTTTTGTAAAGACTTGTTCAACTGTGAAATCAAAATACAACTCCAGGTTTGAATTGTGTATAAATGCTTACGGTAGTGCAGCACRTTAGCCAATAGTCTCCTTCACAGTTCACTGTGTCATCTTGAAAGGTAACTGTGAGTTTGCATCAAAGCAAGACAACTGTTGAGCGTGCAATTGATAGATACCTGTGAAATAATTGTTTGTAGGTGTGAAAGAAGGTTTCTAGCATTGCACACTCAACAGTCGTCTTGCTTCGATGCAAGGGCACGGCTACCTTTCAAGATGGCACAGGAAACCTTGAAGAAGACTATTATAGTCTACACTTATTAGTTGACTATACTGTCTGTATATACTTTATAGCTATATTATTTGTAGATATTTTTTCCCAGCATACTTTATATGTTTCTTTTTCTACAAATAAAAAGCTTTTGTCTAAACTATTGTTAAGTGACCATTACTGACATTACTACATTTGTTGTAATGTTGCTGTCAGACAGGATATCTAACATAAATTATGTGTTTTGATATTTGACATGTTTTGCTATATATAGAGCCTGTAAATAGATGATAATAAAAATATCTATACCTTTACTAACTAAAGACACTTTTACTGAGTGCACGTCTCTACAGAGTGACTAAATACTGATTCATATTTACTATTATACATCAGTTACTCCAAGTATTGCGTTACAGCTCCATATAAGGTAGCATGATAATTTTGCCCTGCATAATTATCTAGACATGATATTTGTTGGACATTGGTTCGACACTGTATTGTCGTTTCCAGTCGACYCGAGCAGGCTTCACCAGCCCAAAGAAACTAAATCCAAAGAAGTCGGCAAGATTACCCACAATGCTTCGGCTGAAATATACAAATAAATAAATTATAAATGACATCAGAATTTTTCTTTTCATTTCCACTTATCTAATCCATCCAATATTAATGTATATATTATATTACCTGAATGGACTTTGAGGAGCACCAGACTCATCCAACATGTGTGTATATCTCCCAACATTGAGGCGTTCATTGGTTGTCATGCCAATCCAAAACAGCTATTGAAAAATATAAAACTATTTGTAATAGTAATAATAATAGCAATATCAAGCAAGSACAAATATGATGTAATTGTAATTAACATGCTCTTGCTTTCAATTTTACACACAATTTTTAATCAGCCAAGTTTATTGTAAGAAAAACAAGTGAGATTTGAATATAGTTTTTAATTGTTTGATATCTGAAGCCAAATTTTGAAGCAGATGATGTAATCTTGCTATCAGATGCTACAATCATTTGTTTCTCCAATGAATCAGCACAGTCTCACCTGATATGATTGACAGATTAAAAGGGCTCCAACCCAWATAAAATGCATGAATGCGTTCGCAGATCCCCAGGAAACCCATGGTGCACACTGGGAACTACGGCTAAYGGCATCCCACCATCCACCAGTGTACCCACTGCAAACATGATGATAATCTAGAGTAGCAGGAAAAAAATAAAAAAAAAATAGTGACTTTCAAAAATGGTGCGATATGTCAGGGTTGCTGACCAGGGCACTGGAGATGAACCACTTAAACGAGGTCTCAAAGCCTCCGTATAATAATAATAATATAATAATAAATAGTATTTATATAGCGCAAAATATCCACCATACTATTATAAAAATTTATGAAAAAAGATATAAAAAAGGGTTTATTTCAAAAAGAATTTAAATATGTACACTGTTTAATTATGCGTAAACTTCCATGGTGTCTTGCAAGAGTGTTTTGTTATAAATAACATACCAATACAAATTTTTGGACACTAGCTACATGCGATCTTCATAGTGATTTTTAAATGGAAGGCCTTTGAGGTCTTGTTTCCATGATTAGTCCCCCAATATTGGTGGTTGTGAACTACTGCCATTTTTTAAAGTTGTGTATAAAGTATGAATAATTATTACAAAACATATTCTGTCTTGCCCTGCATGAAAAAACATTCATACATAACAAAAAACTGATACAATCTTGTGCAACTTACAGACTAAACTTGCAAAGATATAAAAACATAACATCATAAACAGGAAAAACAGGTATCCTATGAAGAAATGRTGATTACCAGAACCTGTTTGACAAGAAAAAAACCTGTTTTATAATTGAGCATCAACAAGTGATTTGATAATTATCAATAATTAATTCTCAATTAAATAATGATTATTATTAATCATCAGAAATTAGTCTTACCAACACAGTTTTCTACCCAAGGACAATGATGRTCAAACCTTGCCACACAACGATCACAAACAGAACAATGCTTRGAACGAATTGGTCTACGAATCTACAATACAAAAATAATCTCTTAGAAAAAACAATCAAATTGAAAAAAAAAATGAATTGAATTGAATTACCAAACAAGTTGAGCAGAAACGAGCAAAGTCCAAAGAATTAGTTTCAGCAAGATGAATAATCGTCTGCAAAAAGAAGAAACCAAAAATGAATGAAAGAACAAAATAATTAGAAAMAAATAATGACAAAGAAACAGGTCTGGTACCAACAGAGGCAGGATAATTATTCTAGCAGTGCCACCAATAAAACACTAGAGACATTTTCAAACTTAAATCACATAATTTAGTTACAAAACGGCATAATTATTGGGACAGGTTTCAGTCTTACTTTTTTCTGCTCTGCTGGTGTTGTCCGAATGTAACCTGGGTCTGACGTCCAAGCCTTGTAAAAGCAGTACATCAGGCCAGTAGTATTTACAAAGAAAAATACTAAAGGCTTAGCATTGAGGATTATTAAACGTTAAGGAATATAACTTGTCACACAAATATAATATGTAGTATAAGACATGTATTTCTCTTGTAACGGTTACGAACGTAGTGAGTGTGAGTGGACAAAGAAATAATTTCCTTAGCGACGGAGGACTGGACACTAGTGCACGTGCTTGTATGCTAATTAGGATGTTGTTTATAAGGTCAAGTTGAAATTAATTCAATCATTGTGGTCTAAGTTCCTTTTGCTTAGTTTTCATAGGAGTGTGTGAGTTCTGTGTGATGGTATTTGTAATTTTAGGCTGTGTTTTTTGAAATAAATTGTTATGGGCTTAGACCGCTCACTGCATACCTTGTGTCTGTTTTATGAACTATGGGACGTAGGAGTACAAGGAATTAGAGTTTACCCTACCCAAAAAGAGGACACAATTTTGAAAACTAAAAGATTGACATTGACKGACAATGGATTGACATCTGCCACGCACACACACAGCCTGAATATTCTGCTGGTTGACCTGGGTAGAATGATACTACCAACAGCAAGTAAGCATACAAACTCAATTTTAACAGCATGCAATACTCTGATAAGAGAGAAATAACAATTTCTTAACAACTCAACCAAACCTTAATCTTTGTGAAATTAAATATAATTATTGCATAGCATGTGCCAGGTGTTACATGGTAATAGAAAGGATATATGGCCAGTAATATAGAAAACATGTTGAATACATATATATTTTAGTGGCGATGTAGATCGCACATGGTAATACACTAGCATGATCCTTATTAGCATTTAATAGTCTGAAATGATAAAATATCTTTGTTAATACCATGGCCACCTAGGTTTCCATTGTTTTGGATATAGAATTAATGGCCTCAGTACTTCCACTAAACATCCCTGGGCTTTGGCATTATTTAATCCCTAATATAGCTAGCAGCTATTGTATTACTTATAATAATAAAGCTTATTCAAYACATTTAACACATTTAACTTCCTTTTACTGCAATTTAGTGCTTTAGWTGYCATTCACAAATTGCATGACAGTTRTTGCCTTCCTTGATGTATTTTTACACCTTCAAGTAGAAAGTTTTTAYTGCCTTTTTTTAATTTGACYCCATAGTGAGGGTGCTTACTACWKSYTTT